GTATTTTCTACATTTATTTCTGTGTGTGTGTGTATTTTATGTATTCGAGTCCTGCCTCTTAATTTGCATGCATCTCATAAGAATTACAGTACATTTGCCATGTCTGTTTTTAATTAACCCTTGTTTGGAAAGTCCACTTCCACTGTGCTATTTTCTGTATTCTATTTTAACCATCTTATTGCAAAGATGGTTTACTAATATCCCTGTAGTTCATTTGGTCATTTGATTTTAAAACAGCCCATCTTGTTTCACTCATGGGAAAGCCTGTCCTTTTCTACCCTGTCTAGGCTCTAATATTAATTTTGTAAGCTGTAATCGTAATCCCCTCTTGTAAACACTTCCAGTGACAGAAGGCCCAGCTTATGCATATTTTGTTAACAGCTTATTTTCCTTAGCTCAAGCATCATTCTGGATACATTTTTTATAACTAGTTTTCACATTCTGTTTTACTAGTGAGGGTTCCACACTAGTGCAGTATACTAAAAAATGGTTGCACATTTAAGATGAGTGTGTTTTGAATTGCTCTCCTTAGATGTAAATTTTTTAACACATCGGCTGTTTCCCACCGAAGGCAAAGGGGGACCCAAAAAGAAAGAAAAAAAAAACTTTTATCATAATTCAACATTTTCACCATCGCTTATACGTAATCACTGTCTGTGCAAGGGTGCTCAGATACAACAGTTTAGGTGTCCCTCCAAACTGCCAATATCTCAAACCCCTCCTTTAAAGTGCAGGCATTATACTTCCCATTTCCAGGACTCAAGTCTGGCTATCTGGTTTCCCTGAATCCCTTCACAAAATATTACCCTGCTCACATTCCAACAGCTTGTCAGGTCCCAAAAACCATTCAACTCCATTCACTATCTAACACACTTGCTGGAAGTCCAAGCTCCTTGCACACATAACCCTCGTTTACCCCCTCCTTCCAACTTTTTCCAGGATGACCCCTACCTCGCCTTCCTTCTCTACAGATTTATACGCTCTCCAAGTCATTCTACTTTGTTCCATTCTCTCTAAATAACCAGACCACTTCAACAACCCCTCTGACAAATACTTTTAGTACTCCACATCTAATTTCCACACTACGAATTCTCTGCATAATATTTATTCCACACATTGCCCTTAGACATGACATCTCCACTGCCTCTTGCCTCAGTTGTGGATGATGAATACAAAAGCAGTAATTGGAAACATTATTCAAGCAACTTTTTTGCTTGCACAGTAGGCTTAATCTCTCTTTAGGTTCTTGAATGCCACTCTGGTTGCATGCTTAGCTGTGATGTGTGTGTGGGTGTGTGCGAGTGCATGTGTGTACTTTGGAATGATATTGTTTGAATAATAATAATGAATTTTTTTTTTTTTTTGCCATTTTAATATATATAGTAGCGATTTTTGCTGTACATAACTGTTTCATTGGTATTCTATAGTGTACATTGTTAATGTTTTAACTCTGGAAGTTCATGTGTTTTAGTCCTAGTTCATATGTAAACAAGACCATTCATGCTTGGGCCACTATAGCTCATTCTTCAATAGCACTTATCCTTTGGCCTACCAGGCCCAGGTTTAGTTGTACATCCACGCAAATTTAAAATGTCATTGCATGCGATACATGCACTGTTGTTCATTGTCATGTTAGGCCCTCATATGAAGCTGATTATTCTGACCTGGGGTTTAGTACTTTAGGAAACCGAATGAAAAAATAATTGTAGCTCTTCTTTTCATTAATATTAATGACCAGTAATTTGGCTGTAAATAGTAGACTTAAGAATTTATCATTATTCATGGCCTCATTACTTCATTCTCCTCATAACTTACCTTTGATTCCTCTACCATAATGTTTTACATAATACACATTTCTTCATACTTTCATGTTCTTGTTGAATTTCTCTATATCTTCTTGAATCAGTGTTTGATTTTTCATTGTATGTTCCCTTAGTCATCTGTTTTATGCTTCTCTATTTTCCTCTTCAGTACCATTTGCATTTGCTCTTAATGTATTTACCTTCATCATTTCTTCATTTTCTTTTTTTGTAAATTTTAATTTGTTTAGTCATCCATGCTCTCAAAGTTTATTTGCGTCCAAGTCAGCATATCAGGTTAGTATAACTATATAATAAATGTGATTAGTGATAATGAAACAAAATGGTTGCTATTTACTGTCAGTTTTACTTTATGCTGTTGAATATAAATATTTAAAGCATTATATAGTTGAGAATGAACTTCCATTCCGCCCATCTGTAATATAGGCACTCAAAAAGTAGCCTCCCAATATGGTATACTGTAAATAAAATGAAATACTGTGCCTAGTTTTTTGACTAAGATGTGTTTACATCATATTTCCTGGGAAAACTACAAATACTGATAAAAATTGCACTTGGCATCCTTTATTATAATGACAATGGGAAACTACTTTTTTAGGTCTGTGCTATTCTCGTTGCATATTATAAGTTTATCCACATTCCCCTTTCATTTCCTAGAATGAGAAATAAGCCTATTTATGTAGTGCATGAACATGAAGTAAGCCCTCTACCCTGTAAGGAGGGTGCCTCAATGAAAGTTTTATTCTTATTGGCATGGTCCATAAAGGTACAAAGAGTAATAGATGTGAAGGAAAAAATAATACGTAATAGTATTTTCTATTTAAAATGCTCATAAATGAAATATGTTAATGTTCTTAATTTATTCACATTTTTGATATATGATGCAGAATATTGCAACGAGATAATGTTTGTATATGCGCATTTTAAAAACCATCACAAAAACTTGACTGTCAAAGTATTATGCTAAATCTCTGTAAATTATCAATTGTATGTTATTTAATGTTTTTGTATTTTACTGAAAAGATCTCTAGGAATCCATGCTCTTTTTTTTTTCAAAAGGTATTCTCTTCGGCTATTTGTATATAGCAGTTTGCTGTGGATATCCATAACCATAAGAAACATTTGAACAACTTCTCTTGTTAAGATTTTTTCTTCACAAATTCAGTTACTGTAGTTTCAAAACTTTATTTTCTCTGATCTGCCTCTATTTTTGTTTCCCTTAAAGTTTTATACGATTTCATAGTTTTGACAATATCCGAAGAAGATGGCATCTTTATTCCTTCACTAATTATACCCCTGACATAGTGCATGTGTTTCTTAAACAATTATAGTAATTCTGCCAATTCCAGAATACTCTTTTTACAAGATTTACTGGAAAGTACATTTGGTTAAGAATATCCCTCAAAACGTTATATGCAGTACAATTTAGATTTCAATAGCTGGAATGTGACTGATGTAGTAAACATTTTCGGCACTCCAGTAATCCAAGGATCTTCAAACAATCATATTTTTTATAAGACTCTAGCATCTTGTTGAGATATAATGACAGTTGTAACATCCACTAAAATATTAAGTAAATGCCTTGGAATATTGGACATTGTTCAAAAAAAAAGTTGGCCATATTTCAGATTTCTTTCAGCCCATTTTTAAGGTTTACTTGCACCTTACATTTATATTATAGTTATAATCATAACTAAGTGCTAAACCCACAAGGGTCATACAGCACTGTACATTGATAGAACCAAATATTATCCATTTCTGTTGAGACTTCATTTGTTAGTGTGAAATATCTTGGACCCAGGCCACGTAAATCTGGGGCTCCATATTGCTGCTTTCTTTAAATTATTACATTGTACAGGTAGCCCACTTTAATATATCACACTTTTGCACAAATGCAGATCTGATAAAAAAAAAATATATATATATATAGTATATAAATAATGTGTATAGCATTATTTTTGTGTAAATGAATTTGCATTTACTCTTTATTTAAATCCTGATGGATTTACAACATGAAAAGTTAATTACAGTATTATTTTTTTTAATGTTGGTTGACAATAAATGTTACTGTAAAGAATATTTTTGTTCTTAACCTTAATAGGACCAGTGCACTTAGAAGCCAAGAATTTTTGACCATGCTAGACACCTTAATAAACATTGATTTAGCACCTAGCGATTATTATCATCAAGACAGTACATGTCTGATAATACCACTGCAGTAATTTGTGCTAATTTTTTTTTGTAACATGTTGGCCTTATCCCACCAAGGCAGGGTGACCCCAAAAAAGAAACACTTTCACCATCTTTGCAGAGGTGCACAGATATAATAGTTTAGATTTCACTCCAAACCCCTCCTTTAAAGTGTAGGCATTGTACTTCCTACCTCCAGGACTCAAGTCTGGCTAACCAGTTTCCCTTCACAAAATATTACCCTGCTCACAGCTCCCAAAAACCATTCACCCCTAACATGCATGCCTTTATACCACATATTGCCTTTAGACAAGACATATTACTGCCTCCAGCATTTATAACCCATGCTTCACACTCGTTAGAGTTTTGGTACTGCTATACTCTCTTCTTTGCTTCCACAGATACCTCAGTGCACCACTCTCCTTTCTTCCTTCATAAACCCATCCACTAATAAGTAAATCTGCTACCATCTCCCCAAGATATCTGAACTACACATTTTCTACTTCCATACTCCTTTTCACCTCCCAATGTCAAAATTCATAATTATTATTTATAATCAATTTATTATTTCAATCACCTTATTCTTATCACTATTCATTCACTTAATTTATACACCCATCCCAAACTTGTGCCTTAACCATCATTAATTCTTATATAATCAAGGGGAAGCGCTAAACCCGGAGGATTATACAGCGCCTGGGGGGGGGGGATGTGGAAGGCATTCAGGCTTAATTCGGGGAACTGGTGCACAGATCCAATTCCCTAAATCAAGAGCCCCTCACCAACATCAAGGAACCTTCCTTGAGGGGACTAACCTTTGTAACTTCTTTATTTTTATATATTAATGCAAAACCCATAGGGGTCATGTAGCACCTGGGAATTAGAAGGCAATTAGGTTCAATCCAAGAGAAGACTGGTCCAATTCTTTGGCTCAAGAGGCCGTTGCCTTCATGAAGGAAACTTCTTTGAGGGATTATTTGACACACTTCATATATAGCTATATTTATTTATTACAGTTTCAACTTAATTTTAATTTTTCATCAGTTGCACTGATTTTTTTTATGATAATTTTATAAACGTATTAGGCTTACATTTCCTTGGTAAAGATTAGTTATGACTAGGAATATTGCAATAATTACTTTTTTAAACTGATAGGATGCATGAATGATTCATATATTTCATAAAAACCAATCAGAACTTTTATTTATAATTTCAATATTAAGTCCTTTTTTAATCAATTGCATTTGTTTCATTTATAGAGTTGCAGCTCTTACTTGTCTACTACTTCATATATCCATAATTCCAAAAGTAGTCTATATACATATTTTAACCACATTTCTCTTTCATATAATTTTTTGTATAACATTAGAGGCAGTAATATATCAACCCTATATATTATGTCATAGTTAATTTTTTTTATTTTTAGATCATGTTATTGAAAACTTAACACCCTTACTCCCATTTTAATCACACCACATAATTAAAGTGGAAGTGCTTAACCAATAGGGGGGGGGGGGGGAGTCACACCACCTGAGGGAATGGGATTATTATTATTATTATAATCAAAAAGAAGCGCTAAGCCACAAGGGCTATACAGCGCTGAGGGAATGGGAGACAATCAGGTTTAATCCAAGAAGAGAATATGTCCAGTTCCTTTCACCAGCATGATCACTCCAAGCCAGATCCTTTATATATATAATGTTAAGATACATTCTAGTTTTTCCAAGAGCATAACGAGTTTAAAAACATTAAAATTTACCTATAAGATTCCACATAATTAAATATGTACAAAATGGTGCACATAAAATTCCTTAGAACATTAAGTGTAATATTGGAGATGGCACTGTGTACATAATAGTAACAAACTGAGCACTAAACCCAAGAGGGTCATACAGCACTGTAGGGTGGAATTTGATGAAGGAGGACTTTTCGGAGGGCAGAGACTAGTGTAGGGCAGAAGTGGAGTGTGTTAAAGGTTAAATATAATCAAAGTTGGTTCAGTAAGTTAATTTGTTAACAGTCAAATTGAGGCTGCATTAAAGGTGGGACTTTCATCAAGGTGGTCTGGTAGAGTAAGTGCATTGAGGCAGTTGGAGATGTCAGAAGTGAATTTTGCATGCCTACTGACAATGTAACTTGTCACCCCCATGTGAGGATTGTCAAACATTTTTCCATGAGACACCCATGAGTTTGACAAGTCACATGTAACATTCAAGAGCAGTGGTGGACTGAATTTTGGAGGCCCCAGGACAAGCAAATTGTAGGGAAGGGGGTCCCTGTCACTTGAACTTCATTATCAAATTACATTCTGGCCTTAATATATAGCATATATAACCTGTCAACAAGCCTGCTGTTGGCTTTCTCTACAGATATGAACTTAAGTGCAGTTATTTGATTTTTTTTTTTTTTTTTTTTTGTGCCCAGAACCCTGCTTTTGTTGTGGCCTCTTTTGGGTAGGGAACCCAGAGCATAGCTCCCCAGTTGCCCTGCGCAAGAGAAGTTTCTTTATGTATACAGGAGTGAGAGAATCTGATAATGGATCTCGGACAACCTACAAACCAAAATTAATTCAGGTTTGGGGCAGGAAAGCTTCAGATATGATAAGGGTGCATGATAAGTCTTGTGGCAATGGACACTTGGTGACTTCCTGTTGTTGATAGCGCTGGTAAGAACAGAACCACACCTGTAAGCCCCTGGTGTCTTGTATGATCGACAACACTGGAAGAACATTATTCCACACCTGTGAAGAAATGTCTTGTTAATTAAGACCTGAACATAAGTTGTAATTCATACACACTAAAAATTAATTTTAAACTGCAGTCACACAAACTAGACACTGACCAAGGTAGTATTAAACGAGATAAAATAACTGAGCACCTCAAAACAATCAGCTTGGATTTAGATAATACAAATCTTGTCTCCCATATCTCCTCAAACTGGGTAAACAGTAATACTCAGTGAACAGAACACACGGGTAATGGTAAGAAAAATGATAGGAGAGTGGGTACAGGTGACTAAGTGGAATTGCACAAGAAACAGTAGACTCTTGCTGCCCCTGATATACATAAATGATGTCACAGGAAATTAAATCCTATGTATAATTATGGATACGAAATTTATAAGGATGATAATCAGAGGATATGTTAAGGCTCCAAAAGTACTTTAGCAGACTTTCTCATGTAAGTCAGAAAGGCTGCTACTTAAATTCAATTCTGATATGAGTACAAAGTAATGAAAATAAGAAGAAATGATAAATGGAATACAATCTGAGAGGAGACAATGAAGACAACATGAAGCCTACTGAAGATAAGGCTGTCATTGGTAACAAATTTTATAACTATAGCAGAAGAGGCAAAAAGTAGCCAACCATAAAACTGATTTCAAGAACCTGAACAATTACTCACTGGGGACATTATACATAATATATGTTGGAACCATTTTGGTGTGTACAGCATCACCAAGAATCATGCAGAAACTATTAAATGTACAAATGCACTTTTTGTATATTTTGATGTTCATATCAGCCTTGATGTGTATGCATTGATAGCAACAATGTATGTTCACTTGGAGGGATTTATATCTCAATATTTTAGAATTTATTGTGATCCTATAGTCACAAAAGTACCCAATTAGTGGTGAACAAGTTACTGGCAGCCTTAAGATCCAGACATCATTGTTGCGTATTTATATTTTATGTACCAATTTTTAATGGTACAGTGGGGAAAATATTAAATTTGTAATTAACAATAGATTTTTACTGTCTTACACTTGATGCCAAATAACATGGGAATGAAAAGACTAACTAATGATTTATTAATATTTTTATTTAATCATAACAGTCTTATGTATTTTGGAACGAACAATACCAATATTAAGTTGTCTACGTAGACTACTGCATTTTAAAAAGACAGTATAAAATCCAGAGTTAACTGTAGTGATACTACTCCTGTGGGTGAGCAGCAACAGGATAATACTGCACCACCTCTCGGGTCCTTAACAACAACGTTTGGTGTGTCATGGGTGCCAACACATGGTGTGTGATTCTCTTCTTTTACATCAATATATTAGTGATGCAGATTACATGGTGAGTTTAAAATATGTGGCCTGTTGTTATAACTTTTCTCTTGACATATGCAAGACATCACCATCCCTGTAGAAAGCAGTTATTAGATGTACTAGTCATTATATTTTGTTGTTGCAGAAGTACTATGAAGATTCTATATTCAATAAAGCCTAGAGATAAGGCCTGTGTTTCTATCACAACAATTTATTGAACATAGAATCCTGGGCTACCTGGTGGTGATCCTGCGCTAGACTACATCACAACATGGAGCGTTTACTGAAACCTGAGAGGCTAGACTGTGACCCCAGCTTATCAACGGCTGCTCAGAAATGGAAGCACTGGTTTAAGACTTTCAAAAACTTCTTGGGAGCCCTTCCTAAAAAAGATCTAGATAAACTAAGTCTGCTTATCAATTTTGTGTCACCTAAGATATATGAGGCTATTTCTGAGTGTAATACCTATGAAGATGCTATCAAAATCCTCAAGTCTCAGTATATTAAACCTACAAATGAAATCTTTGCACGCTATCGCCTTGCAACTCGCCGCCAGCAGACTGATGAATCCTTAGAGGAATACCTTCAAGCACTGAAAATTTTAGGTAAGGACTGTCACTTCCAAGCAGTGACAGCTGCTCAGTATGTGAAGAGTCCATCAGGATGCTTTTATCAGTGGCCTGCAATCACCAATAATAAGGCAGCGTTTATTGGAGAATAAAACTCTCGACTTAGCCACTGCCTTCGACCAGGCAAGAGCTCTAGATTCAGCCCGGAAGAATTCTGCAGTATACAGTACCACTCAGCCTTCTCGAGTTGTAAGTGCTGCAATTCCTGACCAAGACTCTTGCAATGAAGTTACGGTGGAACCTGCCTCAGTGACAGCAGCAGCAGGTACGGTGTGTTTCTTTTGTGGTTTTTCAAGACATCCACGTCCAAAGTGTCCTGCTCGTGAAGCAATGTGCCATAAATGCCACAAGAAAGGTCACTTTGCTAAAGGATGTCGTGCTAATGCATCAACAAGAGCTAGTGCCTCCACACATTCAGTGATCATTGCGACTCTAGCAACAGTGACTTCTGCAGCTACTCCAAATTCACTGTCAAAGGCAGTTGTGAAAGTATTCATCAAAGGAACAGAAGTAAATGGTCTTATTGGTAGTGGCAGCTCAGAGAGTTTCATCAACCTTGACTTAGTTAAACGCCACTCCTTGACTGTACATCACTCATCAGGTACCGTTTCCATGGCATCAACATCTTTCTCTATTCAGACCTTAGGGTTTTGTAAGGTAAATCTCAGAGTTAATGGAAAGGATTATCAAGATGTACATTTAGCTATTCTGCCACAACTGTGCTCTGATGTTATCCTTGGTCAGGACTTTCAGAAGCTGCATGATAGTGTCACCTTAACATATGGAGGTGAACTACCTCCTCTTGTTGTCTGTGGACTTAGCACTTTAAGGGTAGACCCACCAAAGCTCTTTGCAAATCTTACCGCGGATTGCCATCCTATATCAGCTAAGTCACGCCGCTATTCTTATGAGGATCGGATGTTCATTGAGAAGGAAACTCAGAGGCTGCTGAATGAGGGTATTATAGAACCGAGTAATTCCCCTTGGCGTGCACAGGTTGTTGTTGTTGTTAAGGATGATTATAGGAAACGGAGACTGGCTATCGATTACTCTGAGACAATCAACAAATTTACGCTTCTTGATGGGTACCCTCTACCTCGAATTGATGATACAGTGAACAAAATTGCTCAGTACTATGTGTTTAGCACAATTGATCTACAGAGTGCCTATCATCAAGTCCCTATAAGGAATGAAGATAAACCATACACAGCATTTCAGGCTAGTGATGGCCTGTATCAGTTTACCAGAGTCCCTTTTGGAGTCACCAATGGGGTAGCCTGCTTCCAACGAATTATGGATTCACTCATTCAGGAAGAGCAACTCATGGGAACTTATGCGCATTTAGATAATGTTACCATTTGTGGCAAGACCCAGGAGGAACATGATGCAAACCTTGATAAGTTTTTGGAAGCCGCCAAGAAGAAAAATATCAGTTACAATGAGGAAAAGTGCACTTTTTCAACTAAAAGGCTTAGCATCCTTGGTTATGTAGTGGAAGGAGGTTCAATATTCCCAGACCCTGAACGACTACGACCTCTACGGGAACTTCCAATGCCTCAAGACAAAAAGTCACTCCGAAGAACTCTTGGTCTCTTTGTTTATTACTCACAATGGATCTACAACTATTCAAGTAAAGTCCGCCCATTGAGTGCTACCACATTTCCTGTGACAAAGGAAGCAGAAGCCGCTTTCCATACTCTTAAACAGGACATCGAAAACTCAGTAGTTCAAGCCATTGATGAGTCCCTACCATTCGAAGTGGAAACAGATGCATCTGACATTGCCATTGCTGCAGTCTTATCTCAGGCAGGACGACCAGTAGCCTTCTTTTCGAGAACTTTTCAAGGATCAGAGAAGTGTTATGCTGTTGTAGAAAAGGAAGCTCAGGCCATAATAGAAGCAGTTCGCCACTGGAGGCATTATTTAACTGGTAGACATTTCACCATAAGGACTGACCAACGGTCCGTGATGTATATGTTCGACAAGAAGCACAAAAGTAGGATAAAGAATGACAAGATATTACGCTGGAGGATGGAACTATCGTGTTATGACTTTGATATTCTGTACCGACCGGGTCAAGAGAACATCTCGCCTGATGCATTCTCTAGGTCCCACTGTGGAGCAGCATGTCATGATTTGCAATCACTCTCAGCGCTCCACAAGGCTTTGTGTCACCCAGGAGTTACACGCCTGTACCATTTTGTCAAATCAAAGAACATGCCCTACTCAGTGGAAGATGTGTGACAAGTGATCAGAGCATGCAGAGTATGTGCAGAGTGCAAGCCAAACTTTCATCAGCCAGAGAAGACTCATCTCATAAAATCCACCCAGCCTTTCGAGAGACTGAATATAGATTTCAAAGGACCTCTACCAAGCACAAATCAGAATAGATATTTCCTTACCATAGTAGATGAATATTCAAGGTTTCCCTTTGTGTTCCCCTGTGCAAATATGACTGCTTCAACTGTTATTAGTTGTCTTTCACAGTTGTTCTCTATTTTTGGTATGCCAGCTTACATCCATTCAGACAGGGGATCCTCGTTCATGAGTAACGAACTTCAGGAGTTTTTGGCTAGCAAGGGTATTGCCTGCAGCAGAACAACAAGCTACAACCCTCAAGGCAATGGTCAAGTGGAGCGGTTCAATGGTACTATATGGAAGGCAGTTACAATGACATTGAAGTCGCGCAATCTACCTGTTGAACACTGGCAAACTGTCCTACCTGATGCTCTTCACTCTATTAGATCATTGCTGTGCACAGCTACTAATGCAACCCCTCATGAAAGACTCCTCAACTATTCACGTCATTCCTCTACGGGAGCCTCCGTGCCCACTTGGTTATGTCATCCTGGACCCGTTCTCCTGAAGAGTCACCGTAGGATGAACAAGACGGATCCTTTAGTGGAAGAGGTAGAGCTCCTGCAAGCTAATCCACATTACGCCCATATTCGCTACCAAAATGGTGAAGAGACTACAGTATCTATAAGACATTTAGCCCCAGTTGAAATCCCCATTAGTGTGGAATCTCAAGATACACCAATAGATGTGAAAGATG